TCAACAAACCCAGCTGATTGACAGTACGACCGTAGCACGCTTAACTCTGATGAACTTTAAAGTTTTTACGCTAGCGTAATCGTTTGTCGATCTGGATACTAGGCTTAACTGATAAATATTTGCTAATTTAAAGTTCATAGCTGCACTTTTATTGTGTTTTTTCGTAAATTCTGGACCTAAAAAACATTTTGCTCTGACAAGAGGCACCCCAGATAGTATTAATGTTATTTTGTCCTCACATGTAAAAACCTGCAATCGGTTTTTGTAAGTTTTTTGAGTTTTTCCCTCCTTTTCTTATAATGTTCAGTGAGAAGCGCACGCCAAAAGATTAAATTTTTTAATCTTTTCGCTAGGGTTCACCCAAAGTTCATTTCCGCAGACTGGCAACGCTATGGAATTTTCTGGTATTTTTTTCGTCGATCTGTGGACCGAGGTGAAAAAAAGGCCCGACGAAAAGTGAACGCCAGCTGTTTGCCTCTCGCTCTCTCTCATTACTGGCGTACGGTTTTTGTCGATCTGGATACTAGGCTTTATACAGAAGGTTCTCAATCAAACTTCCAATTTTCTTCAAAAATATTACATAATTCAATTTCACTTCTTAAAAAAATCAGGCTATTACTTTTGTTTTCTTGATTTAATAAATAAAAAATCGTGGAATTGGGCACGACTGTAGGCCGTCGTAGGTGTGTAATTAATTAAAATCCTCAGGTAGCCTATATCGATACTTTTGATGCACTACCACTATCTCATCAATAGTTGCGCCAAACACGGCGTTGTTTTGAAGTATATTTTATTCACTTGATGCCAATTTGGCTCGCGCGAAGATGTGTGAGGTGCGAAATCTTATTGACTTGACCGAATGGGATGAGCCCAACAAGGAGGCGTTCGAGGAGTCGGACGACGTGGTGGTCGCCTCGAAATTACAAGGTCCCTATGACCCCTTCCATCTGATGGAGAAGGAGGCTAGCCTCAAGGTAAGGTTAGGTTGGATTAGCAACGTCGTTGGCATTTGCGAAACCAACTTATTTCCGAAAAATTCATTGGCTTTTACACGGTCATTAAGTGCGGTCGGTGGTAAAAGTTTCCCTCCTCCCTCCCCCTGATCTCTGAACTTTAACCTTTAAGACATTGTCCGGTAAGGCCACCGGGATTGTAATGTATATGTACGTACATATTACCCATCTCTGTATGTACTTACTGATTAATGTTTCAGGGTATGACTTTAAAGACACAGATCACGGAAAAGGTGTCCAGCGCCGAAAGGCAATATCCGGACCTCAATAACGAGAGCATCCCGGTTTGCATGCAGACGGATGCGGCGTCCGGAGAAAACTCCCAGAAACGGCGCTCGAACAGCTTGTTCCAAAAGCAGCTGCTAAAATTAAATGCCTCACGATCCGTGGCCAATACGCCGCCTCACAATCGGTCCAAAGCGGGTTTCGAGAAGGCAATTCTAAACGACAATCTGCAGATGCTGGCGGCAGAGTCGACGCTGAAGACGACGACGTCCTATCCTCCAGCCTCAGTTTCGAGGAAGACCTCAAAATGTTACGTATACCGATTCTAGACGCCTTAAATTATTGATTGGAGTTCCCAATCAAGTGCCGAAGAAAAACCACCAGTTACTGAAATTGATGCGAAACCCCATGAAAGTTCTGAACCAGAAGTTGATCAATCACCGACGAAAGATTTGAGCCAACTCCTAAAACAGCTGAAAATGTTAGCTCATGAACACGTTCAGAGGACCAAGTGGCATCTGTTTGACACTGCAATTGAATCAATTCGGTCCCAGTGAAGCTTATATGGCGGCCCGAAAGGCCAATTCAGCATTACAGTCGCCTTACTCATACACCCGACTTTCGATCTCGAACTTCAAGTAGGTAATTACTTTAAGACTAAAATGTTCTTCGGCTAGTCGTTAGAATCACTGTTTCGTAGTCCTATAAAATGGAATACGTTATTTTATTTGTACGCCTTCTCAACAATTTAAATTTAGAAATGCTGTTTTTATTATCTATTTAAAGGGTACAAGGACAAGGCGTTCTTTTGAAACTGTGCAGCTACCGGAGGAGGAGATCGGGTGCCCATCAGTGACACCTAGCAGCAACGATCAAAACTTTCCCGATGTCATGGTCTGCTCTGGAGCCACCTTTGACGCCGACTCCTGTCTGGAGCCATTTGAAAACGACTTGAACCCAGTTCCACCGTTGATACCTTTCTCACCCGTGACCAGAAACGAGCCTTATATGATAGAGTTGGTCGACGAACGACTCGCTCTGCAGATCAATGAGCTGCTGGAACGGCACAAACTCGCAAAGACGGCGATCGGCGATCACGAACTACAAGGTGTCGATCCCAGGACAGTCATATTGTTGGTAAATCCCATTAGCTATGGCAGTCAGCATGCATTCTCCTCCAGCTGTATTGCGAAGCCGAATGCAATCAGGACAAGTCCAAGCTACTCAGGGAAGTCCTGAAATCCGATAGCCGAATGGAAAATTTCCCGCCGCCCAAGGAAGCCAAAAGCACAGCCACTTCAGGCCCAATAAATGGAGCAGCTTCGTTTCGAAAGAAGAGCAACTCCTTTTCCACGCCTAGTAATCCGTCCACAAAGGCCTACGAAAGCAGACGCACCCTTCTGAGCAGCCGCTTGAAAACCACATCAATTACGGAATCCGTGGCAAAATCCAATGGAACCGTGAAGGCGACGAAACCTATTAAGCCGGTGGTTCCAATTATAAAAGTCACCGCGTCGAACGAGTCCACCTAGCTCAATCCCGTCCACCCCCGTGTCCCAGAGACGCCTATATCTTCGAGGACCAAGCGCGCTCAAAAGATATCCTGCACTAGCACGCCACTACCGCAAATGCGTCAAGTTATGAGGTAAAATTTTTAACCTTGAAGATAAACCAACAGTGTAAAAAAGGGCTTGGCTATCTCCCTATATTTTTGTTTTACTAATTTTTGTTTAACGTCTCAAGATAAAGCAAAGTGATATGTACTCTGTGCGCAATCTGACTAGGTAGGCATTTCCAAGAGTACGCTCAAGTACCCAATGTAATGTTTTCTTTTTCAGTGTAAAGTTACATGAGCTTGCTCTTAGGATTGGCTATCCTCATAAATTAGTCACTTGCAAAACAATTTTATTGTAATCTGTTCATTCTCACTCTCACTGTATTCGAGTTTAATAAAAGATACTATAAGTTAAATCACATTTCAGATTCTTATCAACAAATGTGACGTATGCATATCACGAGAAAACAAAGATAAATGAGCTTCTGATTGAAAATAATACCTCCAATGAGCCACAAAGAATAGGGCCTTGAAAAGCCTAACCTCTGCTAAATCTTTTGCCCACTGAAGAAGAATTCAATAAAAAGAGATTATCAGTTCAACAATTTCCGTATATGTAACATATTTGGCATATTAAAAAAAAAAAGGCGAAAATAATGAGCTACTTGTTAAGCTTGCTCTTGAGAATGCTTAACTGGGTGAGGCAGTTGTCGCAGTAGTTGCGGCGGGTGGCCAGCTGATCCAGCGGCACCATCTCGCCCAGCTGCTTGGCCACCTCGACGGCGACAGGACCCTCCATTTTCGGGGTTGGTCCCATCGTCTCGCTGACCGCGTAGATGGTCTTCGAGTACCGCTCGAAGTAGTTGGCCATGCGCTCGGCGTTTAGATGGGCCGTCTCCAGCGGGCCCAGGAAGGCGTAGCGGGGTCCCAGCCCGTTGCTCATCACGCTGTCGATGTCCTTCACGTTCAGGATGCCGGCCTCGACCAGGCGCCACGTCTCGTTGAGGATGGCAAATTGGATGCGGTTGAGGGCAAATCCATCGATCTCGCGCGTCAACGTAACTGGTTTCTGTCCGATCTCCTCCATGATGGCACGGGTCTTCTTCACCAATTCCGGTTTGGTCCAGGGAGCTGGCACGATCTCGACCAGCGGCACGTAGTACGGTGGGTTGACGGGATGCGAGACCAAAACCTGTTCACGAAATAAAGCGCAGTTTGAGTCATTCGTTCTCACCCAAAAAATAAATTCGATTCACAGAGACTAGTACATGGCAATGGGACGGTTGAGCGTTAAGCCACGATCGAAATAGCAATAATGTTTGAATCCATTAGTGTGCACGGACTGCTTGTATATTACTTCTGCTTTACAAATACTGATATTTTAAGATCAAATTCAGAGACACAGATAGCTCAGATTCTAACTCAACAATGCCCATTTTTATAAAAAAGAAGTTATCTAAATTTAACAGCGACATCACGTTAATGACACCAAGAAGCCGATAAATGGTGGTTTCCGAACCAATCATAAGACCTGTACTCACGTTGGCCTTGTTTTTTAGGTCCGCGCTGAAGAGGGAGGGCGGAAAAGTGCTGGTGGAGCTGGAAAGGATTGTGTTGGGTCCGACGATCGCATCCAGCTGCTTGTACAGGGCTTTCTTCAGGTCGAGGCGCTCGGGGATGCACTCCTGGACGAAGACGGCGCCCTTGACTAGCTCCTTGAGGTCGTTGGTGCCCGAGATGCAGGCGAACTGCTGGGCGGCGTTCAGCTTGCCACGCAGCAAGCCCTTGGCCTCGAGGTCCTCCAGCTCCTTTTGGGTGAGGGTCAGGGCGGTGGACACCTGCTCGGGCAGGATGTCGAACAGCCCCACCTGATAGCCCGCCGAGGCGAACAGCATGGCCCAGGAGCGGCCGATGAGCCCGCTGAAATGGAAATGGAGCTCAGCGGGATGGAATCCGGAATCGATTTTCCTCCTCTTACCTGACATCTTTGTTTATTTCCTGAGGAGTGGAGTTGGAGCTGTCGACTGCCACTTGGTACGGCGTACATGCGTTTGAACAATTGGACGGCCGCGCAACCGGTTTAATATTGGGCGATAACGGCAGAGGTGAACCCTACCCAAGTGTTTATGGGGTGTTACGGCTGTTGATGGGTGTTGGTGGTGATTTCCGAGGAGATAGTGGGCCTGCACTTACGGCCTTGCGATAACAATGCCATCCCGCTGGACAATTGGTCGATGCCGAACCAAATGCTACAGCTGCCACGCCCACGCCGGTATGTGTGTACACATTGAGAAGTTCAGATGTATGTACATATGTACCTGTACCCTGTTTACATATTTACCATCTCTTGACTCTTTACTTTTTACCTTACCAAAGTTACTAAGCTCTGTTTTAAGGCCAATGCTTTTTCTATTAAGATTTATGCTTTATTTATTTATGTGTGCATATTTTCAACCACTGAATACCTCCATTAAAAATCTATTCTTTCAGCGCACACCAATTTCCTTTGTCGGGGATCATTTCGTTGCCCCCTACACCATTTCAGGAGAGGGCGCAGTTTACGATATCCTGTCCAGATGGCCTTGCTCATGGACTCAGCGAACAAAACATTAGACTCCACCAGATCGTACAAGAACATAAGGTAGAAATCAACGCATTTTACCATTTCTCTTGAAGTTATTGACCTTTTTAAACTGTTCTAGCTACGAGAGGAAATGCTATTGCGGGAAATACACGGAATGCGACTGGCTTTGTTGGAAAAAGGTTACCCGAGCTGCAATAGCATCGTTTCGACAAATATGGAACATGTAAATAATGTTTTAATAATTGGTTAGCACGTTAAGAACACAAACGTTATACATAGATAAAATCTGCGTATAGCCATTAGTAACATGGCTATTATTATGCTGTTATTTTATGTTAATAATAGGGTTTAAGGGGTTATCCGGGTCTTGACACTTCAAAAAATTCATTTTTTTCAAACTTTTTTATATAATAGTACAAAGTTTCAGGAATGTTGTCTGAAAATTTCAAGTCGATCGAAGCAAAACTGTAGGAATGGGAGAAATTTAAAGCCCAGCACGTCGAACGTCACAACGGGCCATTCGGGCTCTGGCGTCGGGCAGATGCGGGACTTTAAACGCGTTTTTCTCAAAACCACTTTTTTGAAGTCGGTAGTCACGATTTCTCAAAAACTATTGCACCGATCAACTTCTGCTTTTGCACACTTCTTTTAGACATAATTCTCTTGTCCTTAACGGAGGGATTTTTTAAATTTTTAATTACAACTCATTTTATAAGCCAAAATATGGCCAAAATTTACGTAAAAAATGACACTTTTTATGAAAAGCGCTACAAAAAATTTAATTTTTAATTTTAAAAAAAAATGTCTCGTAGAGGACAAGCGAGACACATACACTATCAGAATAATTTTGGTTTTTTGATTTCAGACATATTCTGTAATAAAATTGGCGGAGATACTTTGCCTACCGCAAGGACACAATTTTTTATGAGGTCAAGTTCAAGCCTGCCTCAACGGCTCAATTTTAAAAATATTTGGTTCAAATTGTTACACAATGTTGGTCAAACCATAAACATTAATGTACAATAAATGAAATTTGTGAAATTGTCATAAGATCTTTAAAAAAAATTTACGAAAATAGGCTTTTTTTCGTGCTCCAAGACCCGGATAACCCCTTAAGGGCTTAGCCATCGGATTTTTCACAGACTGGATAGTAAAAATAAGCACACTCTCGACAAAGCAGAGCTTTGACTAACGTACATATATTTAAACAAGAAAGGCAAGCTAACTTCGGGCGGAGCCGATGTTGAAATACCCTTGCAGAATATTCTGTATATTATATTCTCCAAAATTATTCATATGATGCATTCTTAACACTCATAAAAATCCCAACTTTGTAACTTTACCAAAGTTATGTCATTTCCAATCGTTCAGTTATATGGCAGCTATAGGATATAGTCGTCCGATACCGGCCGTTCCGACTTATATATCCTTCACTGCGTTGCACACTTTTGACCAAAATTATAATACCCTCTGCAAGGATATAAAAATAATAAATTTCGCTATGGTGCAAGAGCATTATGGAAGCATGATATTATTTTGTCTGCAGGGCAAAAATTGTAATTTTATTGTAAATAATGTTTAAGTTGAAAAATTAGACGACTGAAAGGATATGTCGTTGAAAATGCTTCAACCATTGTTTTGAATTTATTTCAATTCAAATCATACCTGCCCGTCTTTGGCATCCGGGACTTGTCCCTGATCTATTGAGTCACACATACTGACGCGATTCCTAAGCAAATGAAAAAGGGCAGGGATAATTTAAAATACTAAAGTCCAGCAGACTTAGAGTTGTTTTTTTAAAAGAATTGTATATACCAAGTGATTGATTCAGGTGGTATATATTTTTTGTAAAGAATAATACATAATTTTTTCTGCACTTCGGGATTTTGGGGATCAACATTTCAAGTCGTGACAATGATCGTGTGATCATTCGAATTCTAGTTATAAAAAACTGATCGTGAAATCAACTTCGTTGTTCGATTTTTTGCTCTTCTTATTGATTATTACTAGCAATACTAACTTCAAACTTTTCACAGTAACTCGGTCTCAGTATTGAACGTTTTTCAAACGTTTTTTTATACCAAAAATAAAGTTTTTTGACTGCTACTGAAGTTATTTTCCACTTTTTATGCTAAATAAACAGATACAATTGGATTATGTTTATTTTAATTTGTCAGAATTGTTGGTCGGGAATGGCTTTGTATTAGAAAATCTGATTTACAATTTTGTTAAGTTCTTTACTTCAAAAATTCATAAAACCGATAAATGGGCACCGACATACATATTTACTGATGATTACCATGAGCAACCCTTCAAGATATGGACCTTTTATACGAAAATTGACTTTTTTAATAGGCTAAGTTGGAAAATTTCTATGAAAATGCTATGATTTGAACTGAAGTGTAGAAAGATATAATCCAAGTTTATCTTGAAAATGCATCTAAGGGCGTGGTTAGCATGCACTTAGTATTTCAACAAACAGTTCCATTCAGTCAATTAAACAATATGGAATGCCTAAAGAATTACAATTCAATTATTTTTTACTATTTTTAATAATTAATTAATAAAGCTAACATACATTATTTATTTAATACATTCGCAGATCTTGTGGAGAAATTTTTTGTGCTGACTGCTCGGAATTTTGGGCGCCTTTGCCAAACGAAAGGCTTTTTAATCCAGTTAGGCTATGTGGATCATGCTACACGACCGTCACAACAAATGTCCTCGAATACCCTACCGTTCCTTCAGAATCCCAGATGAAGGGCGAAGCGACGACTTCTGCAAATTCCTAAGAGCTTTTCCCAATTTATTTAAGACTTCTCTGTTGTATCAATATGTACATATTATTACTAAAAATATTTATTGTATATGTGTTAGCACCATAATAGCGAAATATTAATCTGTGCGTTTATATAGAACACGAAATTATGCAATTTTGTTAGAAATATATATGTGGATATATGGAAAAAATTGTAAATAAAAATAAATCCTTTAAAAAAGTATCAAATAATTTATATTTGGCTCTGGTTAAAACATGTCAGCTTTTTGCGTTGCTTTCCAAATTTCTAAAAGAAAACAAGAGAGAACGCTATAGTCGGGTGCCCCGACTATCAGATACCCGTTACTCAGGAAAAGGGAGTGCGAGGGAGATGGAGATAGAAACTTTGATCACGCATAACTTTTTAACGAATGGTCCGATTTGAAAAATTTCTTCAACATTTCGATAGGTATTGATAAACACAATAAAACTGCATTTTTACTTTTCCGAAATATTTAAATTTTTAAAATCGCGTGGCACATTTTTGAAACAAACTTGCGCTGGGTAGGAACTCCTAGAATCTGCATGCAAAATGCCAATCTTCTAGCTTTTATAGTTTCCGAGATCTCAGCGTTCATACGGACAGACAGACGGACAGACGGACAGACAGACGGACAGACGGACATGGCTATATCGACTCGGCTAGTGACCCTGATCAAGAATATATACACTTTATAGGGTCGGAAACGCTTCCTTCTAGCTGTTACATACTTTTGCACGAATACAATATACCCTTTTACCAAAGACCAATATAATATTTATATTGGTCTTTGCTTTTACTCTACGAGTAACGGGTATAAATAGGCAACCACGTTATACATATGCGGTCAAACCAGTCTTTGCAGATTGCTTTTCCATCGCTCGGGCAATACCCCATTGGAACGTCTGGAACTTGACAGATTTGGAGCACTAAATCCCGCCAAATACCAACAGTGTCTTGAGCAGCTCTTAAAAACTACCTTCAATAATTTAATTAATAAATTTATATAATATCTTACAAAAAATCAAAAAAATTTTTTTGCTGTCTCTTAAAGAAGAACTTCTTGAGAACATTTCCCCAAATTTTCATAGAGATTTAAGCAGTGGAAAGAAAGTTACAGCGCTCCTAGCCACGCGCCTCGCGCGTTAATTTTTTCGCTAGGTCCTGACGAACGTTCACCCAAAGTTCATTTTCGCAGACTGGCAACGCTATGCAATTTTCTGGTATTTTTCGTCGATCTGAGAACCGAGGTGAAAAAAACGTTGACGAAAAGTGAACGCCAGCTGTTTGCCTCTCCCTCTCTCTCATGACTGGCGGACAGCTTTTGTCGATCTAGGCTTTAGCAACGCATTATTGTTAGAGGTGCAGAAACATCGATGTATGGAGACATCGATGTTTTCGATGTTTTTCACCCAAAACATCGATGCATCGATGTTTCCATCGATGTTGCTGCACCTCTAATTATTGTATTTTATGTATTTACTTTTGGCACCTGGTAACACTGCGCAGCACCAAATAAAAGCAGAGGGAAAAAATCAAATCAACCGCCATCTTTCCTTTGCCTATTTTATTTATTTAGTTTATTTCATATTTAATTGACTACAAATATGGATCGCACAACCGTCGCGCTCTGGAAAGCCGAGGAAAAGGAGCAGAGCGAGAAACTGCACAGGAAGCTGCAGGGTCTGGCACTGGTGCATCCGTTGCCGGATGAGTTGCGGAAACTGGTCTCCTGGGACATGTTCCTTAAACCCAATCAGGTTGCCTTTGTCCACGTGATGCACTACCTCTTCCGACTGCTGGATCCAGCCGAGTTTAAACGTCGCTTTTTTTGGCCGATTACGGACAAAAAGTCGGAGTCCAACTTTCGATCAAGCACGGTGGAGTACCTGAAGTATCTTAACGATAAACACCAGCTGCACTGGGCCAACATCAAGTCCTATCTGGTGGTTATGCCCGGTGGGATGAGATTCATAAACTTCCTGTTGGAATTTGTGAGGTTCGTGATCCAGGAGCAGATCAAACAGCGCGAGAAGTCACTCGGACAGGATGCTGGAATACCTAATGAGAGTGCCAAGGTCATGAACCGACAAAATGTCCTGATGAAGGAGTATTCATCGGTGTACGTTGTCAATCTCGAGGAGAATACGGCCCTGCTTCGCCACAAAACCCAGAAGATTAGGCGCCTAACTGCTGATCTGTCTGCAGACATGGGGGTGCCCGAGGAGCAACTGGTGGACGATGGCTTTTTGGATGTATTTGAAGCCACCGCTGCCCTCGGCGTCGAGCGGGTGATGACCCAACTCACTGAAATGAAATTAGATCTGGAGGATTCTCTATGTGGCCTCAAGGAGGTCATAGAACTATTTCAGTCCAAGCAGGTGGAGCACAATCAGAGCAAGGAGGCCGTGAACAAGGCTCTGCGGGGAATACGAGTCCTATTTGACTGCGATCCAGGCACTGAAGGAGGTTAGAGATCTTCGCAATTAGGAAACATGCTTCTCTTGCCCATTAAATCCCCTATAACTTTTATAATATTCTTCCAGGTTTCTATGATCAGTTGGCCGGCTCAAAAATGGAAGCCCTCGTAAACGCCTTCAATCGCGTCAGCGGCACAATCGCCGAGCAACTGGATGCCAACGATCACTACAATGAGTCCAACGCGTTTGTCACCACTGACTTGCAGGCGTTGCGTGAGGAACTAACTCAATCGGAAGTCCAGCTCAACAATTTACTTAAAAAACTAAATGAGCCGTCAAAAAAGGAAAAGGGAAGTGCCAACGGCAGTGCCTCCGCCCGAGGACAGCTGTGTGAGCCGGCCACGCCGCGCTTTGATTCGCTCATCACCTCCAAGTTTGTGTCCACTCCTCCTATAAGGATCGATTTGGCGGGTGGCAATGGCCGCAGTGCTCCAGTGCGTCTTGCCCTTCAAGACGATTTTAACGGCAAACAGTTTGATGCGTTAAGCAATAGTTTACTTGGTGAGACAAATGGTCGATCTTTTATAGACTCTTCAACTAATTAACTCTTTTAAGCCCCTGCTCCGCCTCGATCGGCGCGCAAGCTCAAAACCCTCGACCTGTCGATGGGAATTGATCCCAATGGCACTTTGAACCGATCTAAGATCAACGATCCCATGCAAATGCTTCGCACCATCCACAAGAATACGTCCAAGGTCAAGACGGCTCCGCAGCCGAATCTATCTGCTCTAGGAAGCAAGTGGAAGCAAATGCAGGCTTCCTTCGGTTTCGATGAGGCACCAGTGCCGGTAGTGACGGTGATTTCCCCACAAGCTTCACTGGCGGATCCCAGTGATCCCTTTACGCCCTTAAGCGCTAGCGATTGCACCCGCATCGAACGAATTCCTCACACTTCCCAAAACAACAGTTCCCTGGTAGCCAAGAACGCTGCGGTGATGAAGGTTCTAGAGGTGTCGCGCAATGTCCTGAACCTCAGCACCTCGCCATCTGGACGGTTGGACGCCTTGGTACCTTCCACCGAAATCCACCAGATGGATACATTTAGCGACAGAACCGTTTATGTAAGTGAGCCTATAATAGTTTTACATTTAACTATCTTATATGGATTTTACTCCATTTTTATATCGCAATATTTCTTCTTTCGCAGGACTCTCTGTCGTTCGAACCCAATTTGAACACGGAAAACGACCGGAATGCTTTAAACGTCTCGCATAAATTCGATTTTGATCAAATCGGAAGTGATGATGACCTGCAAAACATCAGCGACAGTGTGCTTAAAGATTACATCTTGTAGTCGAAGGCAATGAAAGATCGCCAAAAATGATTATAAATATATACTAATTTATAGCTTTTCCGCTTAATACCAACTTGCCAAATTTGAATTTCCAAGATGAATGGTTTAACATCGATAAAAGTGAACTAAAATAAAATAAATAAATAGGCAAAGATATTGGGCTAGATTTGTATAACTAGCTGATAATATCGTCGTTATTAAACGCAACACGATTTCCTCAACTATGTTAAATGAGTCCGAGGCAATGTCCTGTACCAACGGCCAAATGTGGAAGCCAGCACCATGAACGCAAATATGAAGGAGCTCAGCCAGTAAAAACCAAACACGTTGAAGAATATTGCAAAACAGAACTGTATAATTAAAAATTTTGTTTAGGATTGGTAAAAAAATAAAGTTCCCAATGGTATCTAAAACAGAACTGTATGTTTGAAAAGTTGACTTTGCGAAGCTTAGATCTAAAAATGTCATGCTGTATGCCGAGTATATAAGTAGGCTTATATTAAAATACAGCTAACAGTGGGCAAGGTGACTTCTTCTCTTTTAGCGGAAGAGTTGCTTCCAGTTAGGTTCAACGTATAAGCTATATGTAAATACACAATTCTTGACGCAGTAGTAATTTTTATTATATACGTTTATTTGTTATTTGTAAATAAATCCTTATAGCTACTGTTCTTTATTGCGGCTTCTCCGGTCTTTACTCTTTTCCAAAATCAGACTTTCTGTTTAATTAAATTAATTAAAATTATAAATGAAAAATGGAACTCAAAGAATGCTACGTGAAATTAAATGACTTTAATGCCGACTACTTTATGAATACCGAAAGTGTCTATTTAATGATTTGAGCTTTTGCTGAATGGAAGGACGTATAATTAAAATTAAAAACAAAATAGGCAAGTATGACTTCAATGAAATTCATTTTTATTAAATTCAAAAAATATAATCAAACTGATATATGTTTATCGTTAACCTAAGCATTATGAATGTGAGATATGTTCGTTTGTGTTTCTTTATGCATATTATTGCATTGTATTGCTTTTGGTCTTTATGGTCCGCGCCTATCACATGTCCTAACGCACGTCTAGCCGCACAAAAAACTTTTACATATGGATACTGGCGTATTATATACATTAAATTAAAGATTAAAAGTATTGGCAAAGAAGTCTGCATTGCATGCAAACCCTATTGCAGCCCGTTGAGCAATCGCTCACAACTCCTTTTGATTTCGTGTTAGATTAAATACATATATATATATATATATATATAATAATAATATAAATAACTGATAATTTGCACTGCCATTTCCTGTCGTAATCTCCTACTTCCCGCGACGCTGGCGCGGCGGAAGGTTGTTCTTCTTTCCGAGGATCTTCATTAGCTGTTTGGACATAAAGTACGGCTTTTCCGGCGAGCCGTCGTTTCGCTCGCAGTCCTCCAGGAAGCACAGGAACAGTGTGTCCACGGCCGTCGAGTACACACCGAAGAACACGCTAGTTATAAGAAAGGCGGCAATTACTACCACCGTGGTGGGCACCTCATTGTAATGTAGCTGAATAATGGCCGGATTATTGTCAAGGAAGTAGTAGGTGGACACACCCGCTCCCGCGGTTAGCAGCAGTTTCGACAAAAAGAACAAAAAGTCGGTGACCTGATCTAGCGTCACCACACGCAGGAAGTTCCTCATAATCAGGTTAAACGAGTCCGCGGCACTGCTGCAGAAATTCTTGCCGTGGATGGCGCACATGATGTAAGCGTTCCGATTGAGGAACTTAAGGAAGGTCTCCAGCAGCCAGAAAAAGCATCGCATGCAGCACAGTATAGCCCGTGTCACCGCATTGTCATACTTCTTCAGCTTCTCATGGATGTACTCCAGCACCAGACGTATCAGTCGGACAATCGCAAGGATAAGCGATCCGAAGGCCACAGTGCCCAAGTGATAGAAAGCGGTTTGACAGAATGCCCTAGTAAGAGTAAAGTACGGAACATCGCGCTTTTTGAAGGTCCAGTACCACCGGGCGAACGTAGAAGCCAGCACCATATAGCTGAAGGCGGAGATGAAGAAGCTCAGCCATAGAAAGCCGAAGACGTTGTAGAAGATGGCCCATTTAATCAGAGGCTTATTGATAATCGTGTCAAAACTGCAGGTGGTTTGTGAGCAGGCTACCCGCTGTGATAGCTGAAAAAACACTGTCTGACGAGTGTAGCAATTCTGCTGAAACACTTTCGGATCACAGGATGCACCCACTGTATAGTTGATGGCTGCACCATCGCAGACGCAGTCCTCGGTAGTGACTTCACCCTTTTCTGTCAACTGACGCACCATTTTAAACGAATTATCTCCAATTGAGCCCAGATACAATCCTACTCCAATAGCAAAAATAATTGCGGCCATAAAGAGTATCCAGGAGAAAATGGGGAAGAACACTGTGCTAATAACACTGCTCACTGCCTTGCTGCCCTCCTTTGTTAGAGCAATAGCTATACGGATGCGTTTCCTCAGCACAATCACCAGTAGCAGGATAACTACGAAGCACCCGCTAAGAAATATGGACAGGTAGAGCCAGGTGCTCTTGTTGTGCAGAACGTTCTTAACCGTAGAATGCAGGTTCAAGCCGTGCATCGGCACCGTCGCAGTCTTCTCCCAGAAGATGTACCGATCCACGGTGTAGTAGATGGCTGCCAGGAGGCCGATGAGGACGCCAAAGATGGAAAACCACAGGATCGGAGCTGAGAGCCAGCGCATGAGAGCTATATATATCAGTGAGGCGACAAGAGTGCAGAAGCAGGCCACCAGGACTATCGACCAGGAGTTGACCAGATCCTCAACAATTTCCTCCCCCAAACGCTGGGCGTCGTGGGTTCCATTGTAGAAGTGGGCTACCATGTTGCCCACCAGCTTGGCTAGCCGCGTGTCCGTCTGCATCATTTTCTCCTTAATGACGGCCTCATTGAGTCTGCGTTTGCACTGAATGATCGGTTCCTCCTCCACCGGCTTCTGTTTGTTATTCGCCTGTGGAACAACTAGAGGCTGGGCCTCCGCCATGCTCAAAGCCAAGACCTGAGCCTGCAGTTGTGCTTCCGAGGTGGCATTCCCTGGAACCAGGTTAAGTTCCCGGCGTGATCTTCCTCCTTGCAGCAGGAACGACGGAATGAAATCACACACTCCCTGCGAAAACTCGAAGAGGCATCGCTTGAGGAATGGTGCACTCTTGATGTACCAGCGAGCACATTGATTCAGCTTAATGGCATTCCCTATGTCCTCTTTGGTGCGAATCTGAGCCTTGTGCTCCTCCGAAAGACAGATTAGGAGACTGTGCAGTTCCGCAAAGCTGAGTTGGTCCTTCATCGTGTCCCAGACAAACGTCTGACTCGGACAGGTTTCCACGCACACCTGTTGAAATAGTTTGTAGTATTTAAAAATAAAAATAAATTTATTTTCACTATGAATCTATGCAAATATATACAAAATTTAAAATTGTATGTATGAAAAGTATCAAAGCCTGTAGGTTTAGTAAAGTAGATTCATATATTACTATATGCATATATCAATTGACATGTAATATATCAATTATTTTGATAAATGGAAGTATTACGTGAATAAAATGCTTTGAATTGTAAAGATGTTATTCCAATTTTAATTCATGATTTACCTGCGGTGTGGGACACCCCGTGAGGGGTACAATGGGATCAATACACTGATTCAGGTCGAAAAAGAACAGGTTCTGCTTGTTTATCACCCCGGAATCCATGCCACATTTCCGGTTGAAGGAGTCTGTTGGTACCAAAAGCTTGTTGAGATCGCCTGTCTTGATGGCGAATTGGGCAATGAAGCCCCATCCCGCCAGGAAGAGGGCGAAAAGCAGCAAACAGGGTACATCGGTGCAGCTGCGATCCCGCTGCCGCGGTCCTGTAAAGTTTCGGTCGTAGCGGAGTGGCTCGCCGTACTTGTTCATCAGTTCCACGCTTTCCGTCATCGCTCTTCACTAAAACTGTCCAAGAAGAATCGATCGTTTTATTAGACACTGTTATCTATGGTTGTCTTCTCAAGGGAATGAGTCTAGGCTGTCAGGCGTAGTTCATGTAATTTATTTCCGTAGATGCGTCATCGTTTTAAAAATGAACCGCAAACATATAGTGAATACTGCTGGGTGGTCGTGTTGATGGTGATGGCACCTACCCGCGGCACGTTATATACTCATTTCGTAAATGGGTAAAGTACGCTTGAAAATGTCACCATTAAAATGTGGTTAGATCTTATCTAGGTTCGTTCAATGATCAGTATTACATTTTTTTTGCATATTTTTTCTGAATGCACAATATTTTAAGAACATTGTGTTAAAATTTTAGATTGTTCCGAATAAAACTTCCCAATTTATGGGCAGTAGGTAAGTTAGTTCGTTTTGTATTCGAGTTTTGGGTGTCCAAAACATTAAAACGCTCTCCTGAAAAGTTGCCATTTTCAAAGTCGGTGAACACGATCCTGCAAAATCTTTACTAAATTACACAGGAATGCTGTCAAGTTTTGGATTTTTGTGCGAAAATCGAGGCTTTTGACCAGCTTTTAAAAATCGAAAAAAAAAACTTGACAGCGTTACCTGGGAAAATTAGTCCTTTAAATAATGCAATTTGATTTCTTCAATTCTGATGATTCTGTGACCACTTGCGATATTCACCGCAAACTACCTTTTTTCGAGGTGCCGCCGGAGATTGCCTAATATCACTCACTTTTCAATGTTTTTGGATTTAAATTTTCCCACATATTGTTTAAATGTTGCATTATCACATGGCAAAACAAAAATTTAACTGAGACTATACGTATCGCCAATAAAAAGACATAAGCACATACACACATCGTTTATTTTGTCTCTCACTTTGTATATGTTGTTTAAGGAAATTAAGAAATTAATTAATTAATGAAGCATGTCCACGTTGTCTTATTACAAGACAAAGCTTTTCAAGTTCGGATGAATCTAAACCAATTTATTATCTTTAAGAGTGTAAAAAAAACTTTTCAGTTACTTCATTGTTTTTTAAATAATTATATTACTCTTTCAAGTTATTTCTTTTTTATTTCTTTTAAAAAGAAAGTATTTTAATTACAATTAAACTTGTTTAAATATAATTTACTTGTGGTCATATAATTAATTTTCTCATATTCATACATATATTCTTATTTAAAAATTGAACTCGTCATTAAAAGGTTATCCCTACATATACATATATGTATGATCATACATTTAATAGCTTCCCTTGTCTCTTATCTCTGATAACGAATCGTGAACAATGCAAATTTGTTGGGGATGCTAAAAATCAAAAAAAAAAAAAACGTAACACAGTTCGAGCATGTTACAAATTGGCAATAATGACGCATTAAAGGCAAATTAAATTTTGTACGCTCACTTGTTGCTGCCAGTTGTTTATATGTGTATCGCTTTATTTTTGTTTGCGGCTTCTGTCCATTTCAAATGGAAAACGCGGTGCTGCCTTTAATGGATGAATTTCCAAAAACAAACACTGCGTTTCATAGGAATAATGAAAACCAATTTTGGCTGGCAAGGCAGTTTAGGTCACATGTTTCAAGGTCGTTTGTTGTAACTCCATTTCGGTATGTGCTTTTGGGAATTTCAATGTCTCGAGGTTTATCATTTCAACATTTATAAAGTGAGCGCTCAGAAGAGTGAACTCTCTTTTATATAAGCTTTAAAGTTCTAATAAAAAACCTAAACCCTCAGTTATTATAATTCTATCTTTTCATTGGCAAATCGGTTAGTCATGTTAATATAGTGCGTTAACTTTATTTTAAAAAGTTCTAAAACGTTTTTTTGTAAAAACATAAAATCGTATGATTTTTCTTAGTTTTAAAATTAAAATTCCCATTGTATGTGTATATACAGGGGTGGTCAAAAGTATTTGCACAAATTACACGTACTTACTCATAAGAAATGTGTAAATTCTTTTGACCACCCCTCTATTAACACCCTATGCTGCCTCTGAATCATGTGTTCACTGTAATTACCTTAGACTGCGTCACCTAAGATAAAAAAAAGCACTACCAGTTATTATCGCAGAATGATAGTCTCTTGTTTCCTATTTGAACGATTTCTCTTGTAGTTTTGGAGCTACAAGGCTCCAGTAATATACTAATGGGAGATGGGTATTACTCACCTTCCAGAGATGTGACAAAGGAGCTCCACTCTTCTCTTCGCTAGCTTCCTTTACTTCTTTATGTTCCTTTATTGTCTCATCACTCTTTTCGTGTGGGTGGGGGCCTTTTGTTGAGCTCGATTTCTGGAACGGAGTTGCTTCTCCGGCGAAAGTCACCGGACCACTAAAAGCGGGAAACCTTTGTCGGAGCTCCGTACGTTGCTCTTTGGACGTCGGTCACTTGCACTCGTTGGATTGGATAAATATATATGTATAAAACCTTCAAACGGGGGCTGCAAGCATATAGGCAGCATAAGTATTAATGTATGAGTGTGTACCACTTGGGGATTGGTTTGAAAAAAAAAGAAAAGAGCAGCACGGCACACTTTTGTTAATTGCACAATCCTAATCGTTTTTAACCGATAACAAGCACTGGCCATTCCCGTTATAATAACAGCTTGCAGTTTCGACCGAATTTCTGTGCATGCAAACTCTTTTTTGCTGGGCCAGGCGCATATTACCCCCAGCTCACGTACTGCGACTGCGACTCACTTGCACTTACGTTAATTGAACGGCGAGCACTCGATTTCCACGTAGCGAAGTAAACAGCTCCACAAACGAAATAATACTGAATAGACCAAAAAAACCCCCCACCGCGGCCCCAAATAACGAGCAGCTGGCCCGGGCAGTGTTGCATAACGTCGAGTTTTGGTCAAAACAAACCTGAAATGTATGTGGAATGTGCTCACTGCACAGGGATGCATTGCAGCTGGTGCTGAGTGTTGGCTGCTTTTAAGCTAGGCTTAGCTAGTTTGCAGATTTTTGCTAGTTATAGTGCGTTCTCACTGACGAAGCACTACAGAATAAATACATACATATGTATATAAGTGAAATAGTTTTTAAATGCCTGTCAAGTGACAAAAAAATCAAGTACATAAGCAAAAATACATAATTTTGATTGCTATACAATACTTCTCTTGTATAGACCTAATCTTCATATTCTTATATGGAAAACAATAAGAGAGTAAGAAAGGATTCACGACTTGTATATAAAAAAGCAATAGTTAGTCCTTTTGTCATACGTCTTTGTACGGTAACAAAAAATTTTAAAAAAATAAATTGCTATCAACCCTTTTACTTGGATTATCATTTATTTTTTTATGCATACTTACTTAGTAGTTAAAATTAGCTGTGCATACATTCAAGAGTCAACCACTGTGTTAAATTAATTATGATTTGTATAGGAAAAAAATGAACTGTATCAAGACTTTATTAAAAATTCCTATGCTTAAAAATAAATATAATGCTGATCCCATGAATTAATTTACGATCATATTATCGAGGACATTATTGTAAGACTTTTCCTTACTATTTCTTATAAGAAAGAACTACATCGAAAGTTTATAAATTTATTTAATTTGAAAGTGAAAATGTTATGTTTTTAAACGTTAAGAATTGTAATCAAAAAATATTAAATATAGTTTGGAAAAATAAAATAAATTTAACTTTTACTGCGCACAGTGTGAATGTCTGCATGTAATTTGCGAAAATCGCGACCAGTGCTGAGCAACGTGGCTGCGAAAGCCAAAAGCAGGGTCGGATCTTAGGAGAGGGGTGGAGAGGAGAGAATGTAGCGTTGAGGACGGATTTTAATAAGAAACAATTTAAGAATCCCGCTTTTAGCCGTGCAAAAAGCCAAGCGCCCTATTGTTTAAATATCTCCGCTAATCGCGTCGATCAAGTGAATGTAATCTCGGTGTCCTGCCGGTACAGATTGTGTTGTTTTCGTGCCGGTAGAGCTCTTCAATTCGGAAACCCCCCAAAAAAAGTTTCCACTTTTTCTTTCCCCCCAGAAAAGTGACAATTATTCGTGGCCGTGGTAGGCGGATGCAGCTGCAAAGCGGGCGCATAAAGAGTGACGGATTTAAGTGCAATCGGCGCAGGTCCTCTATTTGTTTATGTTGATAAACATATTAGGTGGGCCAACTAAGTGCAGCTAAAAGTGAAATTGCCACGGTTTTTAAGTGGTTGCTTGGTGTACGTGCAGAAAACCTAAAACAGACATCCCCAGAAGAAGAAGAGTTAGCAGGAGGTGGAGGAGCACCGACGTCTCAGTTGTTTTTGTTTGGCTGCGAGAGAGAAACGGAGGGAGAGAACAAAGCAGAACACGCGGCTCTTCAAAAAAAAAGGGCGGGAAGGCCCTTCGGTTCGAATAAACCCAATAATCCGTAACTCTGCCCGCCGGAAATGTCGAGGGGGGGCGAGCACAAGCGCGTCACCCTCACCTCGATCTTTCAGGGCGATGTGGGCTTCTCGCGTTTTGGTAGCAACATCCTGGAGCCAGATACTCCTCTTTCCGCCGGATCTACTAGCTCCAAACCCACCAACAAGACCGCCAAGTGCATCCGCATCAAGCTCGATCTGTTTGAGACCGATTCAAACAAGTATCCCGAGTTTAACTACTCCCGTCTTTTGTACTTGGAGAAGGTGAGTGAGAGAATTAATCTGTAAAGGGAATCCCATCTAAAAGTCCCTTACCCACAGAAAAAGGCCAAAAAGTTGAAGCAGGTGACCACTTGCAACGGTTCCACTGGCACAGATCCATTTGCCGACAACGATGACGATGTGGCACGGATCGCAAAGGAGCTGGAGGCCAAGTATGGCAACTCCTATGCCACCGGCAGGGGCAAAAGTAAAAAGAATGACTATCGGGATATTGGAATGGGCTACGATGAGTCGGACTCCTTCATCGACAACACGGAAGCAGTACGTATTATACTCGACAAAAGATATTTGTGACCTAATAATAATAATAGCAAACGCATTTGTGACCTAATTTTATAAATTTAGATGGTGGTGATATATTACGAATCATTGCATAGTGTGGAAAGCACAATGAATAACCGTATTGATTTTATAATATTTCCATTATAAGAAAAAAGTCATTTAAGATTTTAAAAAGATAAAACTTCTGATGCCTTATGCTCGTGTTATATGTGTCTGAAGACAATTCCTTTTAGGATTTAATGATCTTTCAAAAAGTGATTAGGATAATTTACCTTTCACTTTTATCTCTTCTCCCCTTTCTAGTATGATGAAATTATCCCGGAAGAGGCGGAGACCCTTGAGGGCGGCTTCTACATCAACTGCGGAGCCCTAGAGTTCAAGAACCTGACCAAGAAGTCCTACACCACGCGAACTGATGCCATCATCAAAATGCCTGAGCGATCACGCAAGCGCATGGTCTCGTCCAGCTCGGAAAGCTCATCTTCGTCATCCGACGATGACGATGAAAACGATGATGACAACGAAGGAGAGGAGGACAGTGATTCGGAGGACGATGAAGAGGAGGACGAAAGCGATTCAGAGGACAACTCCGAGAGCGAAAGCCTTGATGATGAGGACTCTGCTGCCACTGCAAAATCCAGCAGCAAGTTTAAGGACAATCATCTAGCTAAGCGGCCGAAGGTCATCGTTACAAGCAGAACCAAGCAAAGCTCCAGTTCTACCACAGGCAGCAAGAAGCCACCGGTTAAGCCGATCACCACCTCCTCATCGTCTAGTTCGCCACGACCTAATATTGTAGAGATTTCGGATACGGAAGAACAGCTGGGACAGGTTCAGTCCCAGATTCAATCACAAACCCAGTTTCAGGCCTTGCCTCAGCCCCAGACTGAGGCTCAGGCCCAGGCTCAAGCTCTGAAGAAGGTGGTCAAAACGACAACTGTCAAGGACATGCTCAAAGCCAAGCGGGACAACTTTCTTAAGTCGCAGAGCGGCACGGCAGCTGTCAAGGGCATTGTCAACGGCGAGCTAAAGTGCATCTCCTCGGACATGTCCAGCCCCGACAACAGCGATATGGAATCGGGCACGGATCAAGGCAGGGCTGAGAAACAGGCCGGCCAACAAGGCAAAGAAGGACAGGAAAGTAAGTTACTAAAATTAAAACTAATACATCATTTCGGAAAATTTAATAGAATAAGAACATACCTTTTTTGTTTATCTTATTATTATTATCTTGTTGTTTTTCAAAGATAGCAGCCATTTAAGTCATTTCCTTTAAAGTTATTTACATACATATGATTATAATATCTTCAAGATCTTCGCACCGCCGACACTCTGCTACCCACCACGCTGGATTCGGATATTATGGCTGCAGTCAACAACTTCAAAGAAGATGTTAGAAGTCGAGACATGTGCGGAAAGAAGTTTAACCTAGATGCCAAGCTCACTCCCCTGCTGCTTCGGTAAGTTGCAACAATTATTACATAATAATAGCCCTGTAATCCTTTAATCTTATCCAGGGTTTACGAGGCGGTGCTATGCATTGATCGAAACGAGCGCAACATGGTTTTTTCCCACATCGAATACCAGTTGCAGCTTCCTAAGTACTACATGCTGCGCAAGGGAAAGCAAGTGCGCGCAAAGGAAGAAAAAAAGAAGTCCACTATTGTGCTGGAGAAACTGCGGCGGGCTGTAGCGGTTGTTATGCCCAAAGCGATAGCCAATTATGAAACGGAACTACGCACTTTTGCGGAACAGGCGTAAGATAATGATTGCAAAAATGGTTAAATCCTTTAACTTTTGTTAATCCTTTTCAGAGCGGCGGATGTGAATTCGGAATTGCCCCCAAAGATGCCACGCAAGAAATTCCAATGGACCAGTGATTTGCGCCAGCTGCTTTACGACGTTTACCAGGCGCGCTGGCCATCCTTCCCCTTTTTGGCCAAGCGTAAAGACACAATGGAGGAGTTCATTAACTGTTATCTCAAGGAGAAGGTGGTGGATCTGTGGCCTTCCGGCTGGATGCGCTTGGATGAACTGCAGCGGGAAATATCCCGATACAAGAACGCCAGGCAGAAGGCCAAGGAAAAGTCAAAAGCGCCAGCAGTGTCCGCATCTCCGAAACCCGTTGTAGCTGTTCCTGCCTCTGAACAAATTCCGCAGGCAAGCAGCTATCTAAAGACAGTGGAGGAGCCCCGATCTCGTGGAAACTCCGACACGGACTCAGCTACAAGTGCCTCCTCCAACAGCCTAAAGCGCAAGCTGATGGAGATGCCCAAGCAGTCCAACAAGCCTCCAAAGAAAAAGGTGGCCAAGCAGTTACCACAACAGCCGCAACTTCTACCGCACCCGCAATTCCAGCTGGCGCCGGCTGCTACGGCGGCAGTCAGTGTTCCAGCCACTAGCATTAACAACAACCACCTGCCCCATCTGGATACGCTGCTCTCCATGCCAAGCACTTCGGCCCAGGCAGCCGCCCTAAATGCTGCTGCCGTGGCAGCCGCTAGTACGGTTCTGGATCTGGCATCGCCCAACCGAAAAATGGACCTTAACAGCAGAAGTAACTTCTACAATCTGATTACAGCGGCCACCCTGGCTGCGAGCGGGAATCCCAGCCCGCATCCCATCGACGGCCAGGCCAAAGTGATCGTGGGAGCGCGCCCCTCGCCACATGTGATCAATTTGGATGACTACCAATGTCCCAGCGAAATATTACAGACGTCCAAGCAGCTGGCTGCCACCACTACCGTCATCACATCCACCTCCAAGGCTGCCCAGACTACGCCGGTCGGCAGGGAGAGCAGCAGCGAATCGGATGGCGTGGAGATCGTGGGAGTGTTTCCTGCCTCGAAGCCCCAACGGAAAGTCCAGCCAAAAGCCAAGAATAAGACTCAGAACAAAGGAAGATCCTCCTTAGGAGCCGTGGGCCAGGCAAATGGATCTCTTGGCTTCAATGCGAATAACATGTATATCTACAACAGCTCCAGATCTATTGCACCCGTATATGATCTCACCTCCAAAGCGCATATAATGAAGAATCTGAAGGAGTTCGAGAAGCAGATGCATTCTGCCTTCTCACCAACCTCCGTCAAGGGATCAAGCGGAGGAATGGGATCCTCTGCACCAAATACGCCCTCGCGCCAATGACAATCGGGTCCGGTCGCACAGCAGCCATTGCCGGCTGCAGTGACGGCCTTTTACAACCCAGAGGCGATGGCCGCCGCCATAGTTCTCTCGACGATGAGCCACGCCTCGCCGCGCTACGACCTGCTGGCAAACGGATCCGTGTCCGTGTCAGCCGCCCAGGTGGGAGCTCCTGCCAACACACTGCCACAAGTATTTGTTAAGCCCAGCCTGCCGCAACCCAGCGCTGCCGACGAGGTGATGACCACCACAGGAGCTGCTCACCCGCCCACGCAACAACTGCCCACAAAGTTCATTTAGCTAGGGTCACTCAGCTCGCTCCCTTGCGATTCTTAACTTAGATTCTAGGGCTGGTTCTAGGTAGGTTTCATTCGCAGCTGTGTCTGCCTTCCAATCATTTGCACCAGTTTAATTTTTGTTTTTTCATTGAGTCGTTTACCTACTAAGTCAGTGTACTTTGCAAACATTAATAAAGCAAATTTATATATATATATTTATTTATAGAGAACCATTTTTATTAAATAAAGGCGAATTAAGTTATGTAATAAAAGTAAATTAAAGGAGGTCCTTCTTTACACAGCAGATAATGTATACAGAATCGATAAAAAATTAGTTCTGTAAACCGAAAGATAATGCTAAAATCAGCGACAGCCGACCAGCTCCGACACGCTGTCATAGAAACAATCACTTAGCCTAATTTGTAAAAGATAACACACGTGCCTGATGATGAAATTGCCGGAGGATTGGGAGGGCGCGCTTGAATCATTTGATCCAGCGCAGAACCGATGTGGCCGCCATGCGCACGAAGGCGATGGTGGACTGCTGGTTGGCCGCTGGCATCAGATTGGGATCCGCCATTTCCGGCTGCGGAGTGAGACTAGGCACAGCTTCCCAGTCCATACGCAGGGAGTTTTCATCTGAAAATGATTAAAGAAGGTTATTGGATTCTATTTCTGTTTAAAAAGGGTTATTGTGGCTTATACAACATATAATAAAAAAAAATATAATAGAATATATCTTAATTATACTTAGGAAATATAAGCTTACAATTAGAGATTTCTACTTAAATTACTGTATATATATTACCAAGGCATTAATGCAGTTTTTTTGGTTGGACCAACTCACCCTCAGACTCCGATTCCGTGGCCGTTTCGATGCCGATTAGTAGGGAATCCACTGATTTCATGAGCGGCGCGTTCGTGACGTCCAAATGGCCAAAGCGCCCCAGATCGCTGCGCTCTAGATCCAGGATTGCCAGCAAGTTCTCTAGTGTGTGATGTTCGTTTAGAGCGCGCAACTTGACTTGCTGCGTGTAGGCCAGATACATAATGTTCGAGTTCAGCCTCGAAATCTTACGCCGGAACTGCTCCTCGTTAAGCAGCTTGCGGCAAAAGTCTCCGTAGGCGATCTTGTGCGGCAGCCGCACGTTAAGGTAGAAGCTGAGCAACTGCGTCAGCTGCGCCGTGTAGGTAAGAGCGCCCACAATACGGTAGGCCTCAAAACGACTCGGCGTAATCTCGTTGGCCGTGGCCTTCGGAACATCATCCTTGTTGTCTGCCAGCCAGTCTAGGTAAGCGGTGTAGTCACCGTTGGCGGGAAGCGAAGGACCCACTATCCTATACTGGACCTCACTGATCCCACTGCCATGGAAAACCCATTTACCGCGTATGTACGAGGTGTTCTTGGCATCGGCCAGTGCTGCAATGGTTTCCGCCTCCTCGCTACGCTCCACGCTTGCTCGCCGCTGCTGTTCCTCCTTGAGAACCACTTCGGCAATAGGAAATATATAGGTGACCAGTTGCTGGATGCCCCTTCGTGCAGCCTGCTTGATGCTGTCCAGCAATCCCAGGTGGGTCTCCCTTAGTTTCTCTATCTTCTCCACTCTGTCCAGCACGTAATCCTCGAGCATTTTGACCTTGTCCGGGTATTTGGGCAGGTTCTTTCGCTTCTCGGCATTGGCCCGTCGCAGTTCATCGCGCCGTTCGCCCAGGACGCGCAATTTTTGTCCCGTGCTAGAGATTAGTTGTTGAAGAAGCTCCAGTTGCTTCCGCTTGGCCTTGATGGCCATCAGGCGATCCTCGTTGGAGCGGTGCTGCTCGATGAGGCGTTCATAGCGCGTGCTGAAGGTTTTAAGACCCGCCTGCAGGGTAATATAACGCTGTTGCTTCTCTGTCAGACTAAAATATAGAAAGATCGATCAAGATTACAAGTGTTTTTCCGATAAGGTGCTCGGTGGTTGGTAGCAAACCTTTCGGGCCTTTCCGCCTGACTGTGAGTAATGTTTCCGTTTCTGACGCAATTGCGACAGTGGAATCGGCTGGCGCTGCAGCTGTGGCACAGTGGGCACCGCATTTGATGGGCACCCATCCCCGCGGTGGCTCCCGCATCCTTTTCGCTCGCATTCTTCAGCAGCTCCTTTGCCAATGGCCTACGCTTTGTTGTGTATCCTGCGACATCGCTAGCCTCTTCTTCCTCGCCATTTGTGGAGTCCGTGGAAATGCGGAAGTTATCGGGCGCCTTGCAGCTTTCGTCGGAGCTGGAGCTACTTGCCATTACAGCAAGAGCATCGCATTTATATCTATTGTTATTGTTTCCGTAGAAATTCACTTTTTCTCTGCGTAGATTTCGTCAGTGTTGGGTAACGCTCACGGTAGTGTGGGTGAGGGGCAGTGCTGGAAAGCGGGGGGATTCCAGGGCTGCGACGATTTTTTATTTACTACTATAAAAATATACATTAACTGTAAGTCCAATAATTCTTTAAGGATATTAACTTACATGCTATTTATTTTGAAATAAACTTTTTTTGGCTTTATCTTAAACCAAATAGACGACACACATGATTAGCGTATTTAAATGTTTTCGTTTATTTTCACAAGAGATTTCTATAACCAAATAATTAAACTAGAACGTCTGAAAAAGAAACAGTAGACATGGTGGGTGCTGTTTAATTTCCAAGACATTCAATTTCCGGTTTTCGGATTCCAGTTCGGTGCACTATTTTGGAGGGCAGCTCGGTTAGACCAGAGGCAGCGTTTCGAAGAGGACAGTAAATTTAATTAGCATGGGGTACTGATCGTGCGGCTGGATGTGGATCCCTACTTGGCGGCGGCCACGGCCTTGCCCACCTTACCGCCCAGAACCTTAAGGGTCGCATCCACCACATCCTGCACACGGGGCAGGGCGTGCGCCTCCAGCGTCTTGGCGTAGGGCATGGGCACATCCACACCGGCACAGCGCCAGACGGGGGCGTCCAACTCGAAGAAGGTCTGGTCTTCCATAATGCGGGCGCAGATCTCAGCTCCAACACCTACAAGAATACAAAATTATCATGTAGAAAATATATTTGTAAGGGAAAAAGCAAAAAACAATATTCGGGATGTAATAGCAATCAGACCTGAAGCAATGTAATATAATTACTACCAATCATTAGTAAATTAATCCAATGATTGATTCACAGAAATAAAGAGAAACTAATCCATTATGTTAAATGTTTAATTTTAAATATAGCTCAAAATAAAGCTATAAATAAACTATAAATAATAGTTTCTTAGATATCAGGATATGATTTTAAAGTGATTTTGAATTGTTAGAGATTTCTGTGACAGCCTTATATTAAATCATTTTAATTACCAATGTTTTAACTGATATTTTCTTATCACTTACCATGCTGAGGCCAGCCGTTTTCCACGGTGACCAGGTGGTGGGTCTTTCGAACGGAAGCGAAGATGGTCGCCGTGTCCAGGGGACGAATGGAACGCAGGTTAATGACCTCGGCCTCAATGCCTGAATAGTGAGAAAAAATTAGCTTTTTTCCCTATTATTTGAAGCAACAGCAGATCATACCCTTCTTGGCCAGCTCGGCGGCCGCCAGCAGCGATGTCTCCACCGCCTTGGAATGCGCCACAAGGGTAATATCCTTGCCCGGCCGCATGATCTTCGCCTTGCCGATGGGCACCACGAAGTCCTTGTCGGCCACATTGTCGGCTACGGGGAAAGCGGTGCCATAGACCAGCTCGTTCTCCAGGAATACCACTGGATCAGGATCGCGGATGGCAGCCTTCAGCAGGCCACGGGCATCCTCCGAGTCGTAGGGCGAGATGACCTTCAGACCGGGGCAGTGGGCGTACCACGCGGCGAAGCACTGCGAGTGCTGGGCGGCCACTCCGGATGCAGCTCCATTGGGACCTCGAAACACAATTGGCACGTTCACGGCACCCGCGGACATATAGAAGGTCTTGGCCGCCGAGTTAATGATCTAATGCGGGGTATTATAAAAGAATATTTTATGAAAAACCATGACTGTATTACAAGGAATAAAATGATGATAGTTCAAAGTTAAAAATGGTCATTATTAAATCCTCCCTCTAACTGCAATCTCGCCAATTCAAGTTAATACAAGTCGCACTTTATTGGTTAAACACTGCTCTACTTCCGTCTCGGTCTTCACTTAATGCCTAGTTTCTGCTTAATGATAAATGCTGGCAGGCGGCGTCCTTTCCAGAACCGCGGCAATGGCGTCTCATTGGCCTGCCTTAGGATCTCGGCCACGTGCTGCTCTGCGCTGAAGGCCTCCGCCTGCTTGATCTGGGCCATTAGCTTGCCCTGAAATGCCTTCTCCTTGCGCATCTCGCGGCGTTGGCGCACCTTGGCCCACTCGAACTTCATCTTGCGGCGCAGCTTCTTTAGCTTGTGCTTCTTCATCTTGCGCCGACGGATCACAATGAGACGAGCCGCCTCCATCTTGTCCGGCTTGCTTTTGTCCATGGGCGGGGCAATAACCTCGCCCACGTGATCTCTGTGCAAGATGTCGTTAATCTCGTTGAGCCAGGTGGAACGAGGACTTTCAATTATGCGGCTCAGTGGCAAAGGGCGATCCCCGACTGGCGGCCTAACACCATTAACCATTTTTGCCTGCACATAATCGGATAATATGGGTGGGGATTAGTGAGGTCCGATCTATGCTGGGGCAGGAGCTAATCCACCCATATTATCCCATTAAGCGCCGCGGTCTGATCTTGCACTTGAATTGGTCTGTTAACTAGATAGTGGAGTTGTGGGGCATTTGGATTGGATTTTCGTGTCTTTCTCACTTTTTTTTGGCAATGAGATAATATGAGTGGTTAGCCTACTGCTGGAGTGCGGAGAAAGGTTCTGAGGAAAAGGATGAAGGAACTTACGTGATCGATGGCCTGCATGGAAAAGTTCCAGGTCATAAACTCGCAAACGGGACGCAGACCAGCCATGGCGGCTCCAACGGCGATGCCGGCAAAGCCCATCTCTGTGATTGGCGTGTCGATGACGCGCTTGTCGCCGTACTTTTTCCACAGTCCACGGGATATCTGAAACGGAAAGAAAGAAATTAATTGAGGTGTAAAAGAATTTAGTTATTCAATGGAATATGAAGGGGATGTCTTTTTCTATGAAGATCTCTTCTTCTTTTGTTAATCATAGGTATTATGTCCCCAAGGATATAACAAATATTTTGACAACTTACGATTTCATAAACCTTGTTTATTTATGCAAGGAAAAACGTTATTTGACAAAAAATAAATAGATTGTATCTAGACATAATAAATGACCATTTGGATGTAATGAATGAATTTTCGGTTAATCTTATGTTTAAAGATTATTTAATTTCAAATTTGCTGATTATTTTACTTTATAAATAAAGAATAATTAGTAAGTGAATTAAAGACTGGTTTCTAAATCCCAAGGCCAGTAAAAGCAAATAGCATACAAATTTCTCTAAGTTGTAAAAACGAAAATTAAAATAATAAAAGTAATCCAGTATAAAGGCAGATTCGCTAAAAATATACATATGCCGGCACCTAAACTTCTTACAAATGGGTAAACAAATCGTGACTTTATGGGGCAATCACGTATTATCAGCAGACAATCACACACACTCTGCGTGACCTTGCCAATTTCGATCACGCATTCAGATTCGAGCCGTCCTATTCCGAACCATTATCAGTAGTTACATATAGCACGCATATATCACCCCTCAGACCTCCGTTTTTCCCCATCCTATCCGCCTGCATCAGCTGTCAGCGCAACCGCCTGGTGGTGTTTACGTAATCAGGGGACGGGTCTAATGATACCGCCAGTCTTACCTTGTAGGCACCATCGTACTGGGCCACCTCCTCGCCGAGGATAAAGACCCGGTCGTCGCGGGCCAACTCGTCATCCAAAGCACTGTTTAGGGCATCCCGCACGGTCATCTGCTTGGCCGCCAGCGCCTTCTGGCTGGTGGAGAACGCCCGCTGGGCGGAGCTGGCCGCCTGAATCAGTCGGGATCGGAGCATCGTTGTCTCGTGGTTCGGTTTCCTATGGGGCTATCGGTTTCGTATCCAGCTGCAGAAGCGGTTTTACGGGGTTTTGAGAGCTATTATCTAACTTAAATAGGCTATTATGGCTTTACGCACCGACTTCCGTCCCGAAATTTGGATGTGAAAATGTGTGGTGTGAACAATGTTGTGCGAGGAAAATATACTACCGTTCAGCTCTTAAACATACTAAACCATCTGTGGTCACACTTGGAAATGTATATTTTTTTAAGTCTGCACCATTTTTAAATATTAATTTTTATTTAACAATATGTCTTACCCTGAATGATACTTCTCTTCCAATAAACCTTTGCTTCTTTATTTATAAAAATTGCAAAACAAACTTAATTAAAATATAGCCTCAAAATAAGTTCAGTTCTGAAAAAAATATACTCCAGGAAAATTAGACCAAAATGTACTCTTCAATACAAATATTTAAATATTTAATTTATTTTTTCAAAACATAAGAGTGCAGTAAAAACTATATTGCCCAAAATTTTAATGATTCACATTACCCTTGCAAAATCATTCACGATTTATTTTTTACGTTTCAAAATGAGTTTCGAACAAACAAATCATGTTTGGAATTCTTGGAAGTATTCGTCGTTCCTGGAGTTCCACTTCGTCTGCCAAAACGAGTTTTAAGAACTCCCTGAGCTGTATATCGCGGATTTTCTTTGGACCTCTACCCAAGGACTCCAAATGGATAAAACCAGGACGCCTACACTATATAGAAAATGATGTGGAAAAACATGCGGACATTATAAAAACTATGGATGGTGTGGTGGTTCTGTTGTACAACATATCCCGGAAGAAATTGATATTTGTGCGTCAATTCAGGGGAGCGGTTTACCAGGGAATTTATTCTGGTCAAAATGTGGAAATGTCCAAAGGAGAAGCTGATCTGGAGAAGTTTCCCCCTGATATTGGAATAACCTTGGAACTTTGCGGGGGCGCCGTGGACAAGGACAAAAGCTTGGCGGAAATCGCCAAGGAGGAAGTGCTGGAGGAGTGCGGATATGAGGTGCCCACGAAGTCCTTGGAGCGTGTATTAGATTACAGATCGGGTATTGGAACATCTAGTAGTGCCATGACATTGTTTTACTGCGAGGTGTGCGATGGTCAAAAGGTTTCAGAAGGAGGTGGAGTGGATGACGAGGAAATCCAGGTGGTTGAGATGCCTGTGGAGGAGTCAAATAAGCTGGTCGAAGCTGGTGCTGTTACCAACGGCGGCCCCTCCTGTCTGATGGGATTACTGTGGTTCTTTCTGTACAAGGCCCCCAAGGTTTCCTAGTGGTTCCTTTAATTACGATGATTTATCTCAAACTTTAAATGTTGTTAAACTCTGTACGAATCAAAGTAAAATATTAATATGGTTTGTCGATGAGTTTTTTTTTTGTTTTTTATACTTTTTTAATAGTAGTATGGTATAACGAACATTTTAAATTTAAAATGTGTTACCACTTGCTGCCTGGCTATAAACGTCAAAAAAGCTTCTTTGAAATAAAAAGCTATTATTTGATTTTGATTCCCCATCGCCGGTTGGAGCTTTCACAGTCAGCTGATGCTAGTGCCACTGCCGTGTTTTTGTGCCCCACGACCGACTATTCAGCATGGAGAACGTATCCAAGATCTGGTTGGGCCCGCTGCCCGAGGATTCGCCCTACGTGAAACCCTTCCGGCTGTACTACGTCCAGAATGGCGTGGAGAAGAACTGGGACCTTCTAAAAGTCCACGATAGCGTGGCCATCATTCTGTACAACACGTCGCGCCAGAAGCTGGTGCTGGTGCGCCAGTTCCGACCTGCTGTCTACCATGGGATCATCTCCAGTGCGCAGGGCAGCTTCGACAAGGTTGACCTTAAGGAGTATCCGCCTGCTATCGGGGTCACCTTGGAACTGTGTGCAGGGATCGTGGACAAGTCCAAGAGCTGGGTGGAGATAGCCCGGGAGGAGGTGGTGGAGGAGTGTGGCTACGACGTCCCGGTGGAGCGCATAGAGGAGGTCATGGTCTACCGGTAAGAAGGTCAACATTGTAAACAAAGGATCTCATAATTTAAGATTTTGAAAAACAATTAATAGGTACTATACATTTTCGGCCGTTTTAGCCTGTTTTATTTTTTAATACTCGTCAAGAATTATTTACTTCTATTTTATTTAAATCTTTAAAATATTGAAATGGAAGTCCTAAAACACTTTTAACTAACTAATGAACAAGACTTAACAATAGAATATTTTGTGAGCTACTTAATTGATTTTTCAACTACTTCCTTAACAACTGATTCAACAACTTTGTTAGACTCTAATAAATTTTTAAATAAGTAAAAAGGGTTTGCTTTATAGACCGTTAATGAATTACTTTAGTCGGAGAAATAGGCAAAATTAAAGAAGTTGAATTTAAGATAAGCATCTATAAAAATTACACATAGTAAATCTGATTAGGTAGGCTTACATAACATGATAAAAGTTAAAAATACTTACTATATATTTTTGTTTCTTATGATTTAGATAGAAATATATATTCTACTAATAACTTTTTATTACTCTCAGATCTGGCGTTGGCTCATCCGGTGCCAAGCAAATCATGTACTATTGCGAGGTAACCGATGCGGACAAGGCCACCAGTGGCGGCGGCGTTGAGGACGAGATAATCGAGGTGGTGGAGCTGTCCCTGGAGGAGGCGAAGCGGATGATCCAGCAGGGAGCGGTGAACAACAGCCCGCCCAGCTGCCTCATGGGGCTGATGTGGTTCTTCGCCAACAGGGCACCATGTGCCAGCGCCTAGTGGCAAACATTGCTGTTGATTCACCGAGATAAGCGGCGGCCGTGATAAAATGATAGGATGCGTCCGCATCAGCAGCGGTGCCTTACTAACTCATATTAGCCAACACGAATTCGAATGCTTTCCAACCGAGAACATTGTGAGTGCGCCTAGCGCATACGATAATACCAAAATTCCCGTGCCTGTCGAGGCTTACCTTATGATATGTACTTTGTAATATGTAATAAACCCTGGCCAGGTGTCCGCTCATGAATTCGGTCAAGACGTCTCCCACTTCCACTGCCACTTCCATTTCCACTCCCACCGCGGCAGCCAAGTGCATAAATCGCCTATAAATCAAAATGCCGCAAGACGCTGCTGCTGCAGAAGCTCCAAACGGGTTCCGCTTTTCTCCGATCCCATCCGATCCGATGCGATGGGACCTGGGACCCCATCCCATCCCAATCCCGAACCATCCAAACCGAAGCTGTGTGCCGTTTTTGGGCCCCTGTCAGGCAGCGTGTTGCTGGGATCAGGTTACTTATTTATACACGGCCAGGGACTTTAGCTTCCATGCCCGCTCCCGGTACTCCTGATCACAGAGAAAGAAATATAATTTTTGGGGGTCATACATTCTGTAAATCTTTCCTTATCTTTACTTAATTTTAAAATGCACATTATATTTTAGTATGATACATCTTATTCCGGTCGCTCTACCATTTCACTATTTATACCCGTTACTCGTAGAGTAAAAGGGTATATTGTATTCGTGCAAAAGTATGTAACAGCTAGAAGGAAGCGTTTCCGACCCTATAAAGTATATATATTCTTGATCAGGGTCACTAGCCGAGTCGATATAGCCATGTCCGTCTGTCCGTCTGTCCGTCTGTCTGTCCGTCTGTCTGTCTGTCTGTCTGTCCGTATGAACGCTGAGATCTCGGAAACTATAAAAGCTAGAAGATTGGCATTTTGCATGCAGATTCTAGAAGTTCCTACGCAGCGCAAGTTTGTTTCAAAAAGGTGCCACGCCCCCTTTAACGCCCACAATCGCTTATATACGATTTTAAAAATTTAAATATTTCGGAAAAGTAAAAATGCAGTTTTGTTGTGTTTATTAATACCTATCGAAATGTAGAAGACATTTTTCAAATCGGACCATTCGTTAAAAAGTTATGCGTGATCAAAGTTTCTATCTCCATCTCCCTCGCACTCGCTTTACCTGAGTAACGGGTATCTGATAGTCGGGGCACCCGACTATAGCGTTCTCTCTTGTTTTAATTTTATTTCAATCATATATATAATTGGAAAACTATAAAATAGTTGAATATTTATAAAATTTAGAATTTTTGTAGTACCCATTATTACTAAAAAAATAGCTGTAAATATTGCTATTTAAAATAGTTTTATCTTGAATTTGTATTATAAAGATCTAAGTACTTTTTAGTACAGTTTACTAATAGCTGCAAAAAATGGTTAAGTAAAACTTTGTTTTTCATCAAATAGTTTTATGTGTACCTGCATCTATCCATCCTGTAGTTTTCCGATTCATCCTCCATTTCCATCCATCCAGGTTCAGCGGTCATGGCGAGTGGTGGCGTGGAAATTTATTTACCCCAAAGCCATGATTTGGCAATATTTCAACATTGTAATAGAATTTCTTTCAGCCTTTTCAAACTTGACTTCCTTTTCGGCGGATGCCCATACTCCTGCCCCAGATCCCCTGTCCCTGCTCCAAGATCCCTTGGTCCCAAACCCCCTCGCACCACTCACATGTGCGTGCATTCGATTTGCCGCTGATAATCAAGGCCGGTTCTTTGTTGTTGTCTGCTGTTCGCTTGCGTGTTAACCTCATGTAAATTATGGACCCGAGGCGGAGGAGCCGTCGGCAGCAGAGTCAACAAAAATGCGAGTGTTGAAATTATATTTAATTTGCATATGTTGGCGGACGACCAGGCTGTCCAGGAGGCCCCTCAGGGACTCAAGGATGCAAATGAGTTGGGGGAGTTCCACGTGGATCAGGTGTAATGTCGACAAGAGGGATTTGTCAAGGAAGCAGTGGCTTTCAAACTGTGGCAAAGTAGTTTTCTGAATGGTAAAGGAGTTTCACAGTTTATGGGCTATGAAGAAAATGGGTTTAAAAAAAAGCTATTATAATGAATGTATGACTTTGATTCATTTTAAACATTCTTCTTACATTAAAAAATAATGTATAACAAGGTCACATTTTTGTTCAATATTTTTGTTTTAAATTTTAAAGTAATAAGAAAATACTTAAACAAATACCCTTTCACGCAATTGCAATAATTTAATTGTGAGAGCAGTGAAAAACATGAATTGATTGTGGTTACTGTTCCCTTGAAACCTCTAATGAATGAAAGCGGTTTTCTTTTGCGTTAATTTAATGGCAGTGCGTATTCCAGACCGATTTCGTTTGATTTGTCTGGCGACAGTTTCGCAGCAGCATCTTATTGCGGTTGCATTTATTGCTGCTGCCGTTGGAGTTGCTTCCTCATCACACTGAAACCGATCTGTCGCCTGTCACCTGCTCCCATTTGAAATGGTCGCTGTTGCTCCCCAAGGTGCAAATCGAAGCCAACGGAGCCAACTGATTGCCTTTTTGCCTTTCCACGCAGAAAAATAATATCAGTTTTCTTTCGATTTCATTATATTTTACATTAATCTGGGTTCTTCGCTTGGCACGTTGGCTTTTAGAAAAATAATTGAATAAATGAACTAATACTGAGAAGTATTTGAGAACTTTTTCCATAAAATAAATTGGCAAAAATCTATAGCTTCCATAAACCATAAGAATCTGTTTTACTGTTTTACAACATGAGTTTAGACTTTACCCCAACAAGAATAGAATGTAGAAATAATGTTTTGTTAGGCGTATTCATTTATTCTGTCAATTTCTTTTTCTCCTAATCAAGTTTCCTTTTGTTAAATAACTTACAATATTTTCTACTTAAATAAATGATACCCCTTTGATGTTAAAATTCATCTTAGTTCTTCTCCGTGTGGCCTTACCTTGTGGCTTAGCTTAGTTGCGCAAGTCCAAAGTACAGAATTGCAATTATTTCATAATCACGTCCCAATTTATGTGCTGCTGGAGCAGCGGCTGCGATAGGCCAGAGATTGCCATTTCGAATCAAAGCTTCTTTCTATTCCTGCGGACCCAACTGACCTCCAGTGGCTTTGTGGCTCCGTAGTTATAACTCCGAGCTCTGGCCTCTGAGAACCCAATCCCAATCGCAAAATGGCGTCCGCACACGAACGGGAGCGAAAAGTTCCAGGTGGAGATCGGGGGTTTGTTGGATCTGCGGCTGGGGAGGTTTCCATTCTGGGATGGGAAGACGGAAGATCAAGAAATCGCGATCATGAGCTGCTGCGCGGCTCGGTTTCCAGTGCGCATGCGAAAATTAAGTGCAGCCAGCAACAATCATAACAACAACAGCAAAATTACCTGTAAAACAGTTATGGTTTTTGTTGTTGCTGCTGCTGTGGAGCAATAATGAAATTTTTTATCGGATTTGATTATAAGTTGCCCAGCTTCGTCCCGGCCACCCCTCCGTCGTAATCTGCCAATAAGAAGAAAAGTAAGCGAGGTAGGTACACTTGGAAACAGGA